TTTTTTTATAGAGACAGGGTCTCACTCTTGCTCAGGCTGGTCTTGAATTCCTGACCTCAAGCGATCCTCCCGCCTTGGCCTCCCAAAATGCTGGGATTATAGGCGTGAGTCACTGCGCCTAGCCTGAAATTTCTTTAATGTTGATATTGCAGTATCACAAAGCAAGCAAATCATCTTATCTTTAGCAGAAACAAGATAATACTGCAATTCCCAGTCCTCATTAAAAAGTCTGCTTTCTTCCTTCGGCATTCTCTTAGTCTGTGAGGACTGCAGGGAACCCCAGTGGTGAGGTGTATAGGTGTCCAAGGTGTTGCTGGGGGTTGCTGGGATTCTCTTGCTTACCTTTTCATCTTCGAGATAATTTCCTCCTGGTTCCCAGCTGATCCCTGCTAGGGAATGGGGTCATAGGGTCCTGGGTGTTTCCTTTTGTTCTCTATGTAGCTGTCTGAAGAGTCTGTGCTCTCTAGGGTTTTTATTACTCCTGTGATGCACTCTGGTGCTCTTTCTCAGTTAGTTTTGTTAATATGTGGTTGTTTATTCCTTGTTCTGGCTGTGTTTGTGAGGGGGATGAGTGACAGGGGCTTCTGGTTGGCCATTTTGCTATTGTTACTCTCTGGACTTCTGTGTTTGTATTTTGAGCTATTTTAAATAGTTGATACTTGTAGAGTTGTGATTTTTGTATTTTAATATAGGCTTGTACTTAGAGATTGGGGTGATGAACAGACATATGCTGTAAATAAAAAATAAGTAAAATCACTCCCTTAAAAAATAGATTGAGGCACTCTAGTACTCAAAGGAATGATTCAAACCAAGATGATATAAAAGGGACTAAGCTTCTTGTGTGAAATGTTTAGGAGTTCAGATGGGAGAGTATTGTTGGTTTTTTTTAAAGGCCAAATGCTGCTGCATTGGTTTATAAATTTAAAGACATTTAAAAATTGCTTTTAAGTTCTGAAGTAGCATTATTTTCTGCATTTAAGCAATTTCAGAAACTATTTTCCTTTACGGAAGCCACGTGGAAATTTTCTGGTAGTTTCTTGAAGTAGTAATAGTTGAGATTTAATGGATGAAGGTGTTAGGAAATCTGAAATTCACCCCTTCCTTTGATAGGTGTATAGTCTTCAGTAAAGTTACTGGATGCCTCAGTTTATTCTTCTATAAAATGGAGATGGAGATAATAAGGTCTGTTCTGACTCATTCAGCATGGCTGAGAGGATTTAATGCATTAACTGCCATGTAAGTTGTATTTAACTCACACTAGTTTTGAGCCCAGGGCCCTGTGAAGCATGTGTAGCTCACACGTCTGTCTGATTTTTGATTAACGTTACGAACACAAGAAAGAAACAGTAAAGGTAATATGGAAGCTTTATAGTGTAGTGGCTAAGGACAGTTTTCTATTGTCACACTCTTTGGGTTTCAATCTCAATACCATACCTTACCGTTTGTGTCATTGAACTTGGGCAAATTATTATATTCAACCCCTTTCAGTTTTCTTATTCCCACAAATGGGCTTCTCATCCCAACAATGTTATGCAATCTATGGTTTAGGGTTATTGTAAGGGGTTAAGTTATAACATACGGAGTTCATAGTGTGTAAGTGTTCCATAATATTAGCTAAAAACAGGAAGATACATGCCCATTTACATTTATGAATGAGGGAGTGGTAGGTTCTGGTGGTGTTTGTCTTGCATTGTTGGCCCATGCAATTTTGAATAATAATGTGATAATATTAATAAAAGGTCTATATAAATACAAAAATATACTCCACTCCAAACTCACCTATCAAAAGCACTTAGATCTAGAAGTGACTATTTTATTTTCCTCCTA